ACGCCTATCCTTCAACACATAAATCTCGCGTAGACGAAGATGCGGCGGATTAAAGGAAATTAGAGAACGAGGAGGCACAAACAGCGAGAAGGACGATGAAGTGTCCTCTGCGGCGCCTCTCGTATGACGTGTCAATGCGATCAAGCATGGCTGTAACGAATGAGCACAAGTACGACAGTACCGATCGTGTGTGGCACCTAAATGTAGGTATTCTGACCGATCAACTTTGGTTTAGTTACCAAAGTCTCCATTTTATCCCCGAAGCAGCTTGGAAAAGCAACAAGCGATTTCGTACCAGCAATTCAGCCTTTGAACATATCGGAGTCCTTAACGTTCACCTGGTCGAGTTCCCTTTTTGGATGTTGGCTCGCGATGTGTGCAAGTGATGCAGCTGTACACAGTATCAGTTGCATTAGCCTTGCCAATAGAATGACTGAGTTTGTTAAATTGCCGCAGCACATATTCCGAGAGGTTATTTCACATTATTATCACTGCACATTAAAGTATGTCAGTGGCGGATTAATGGAAAATAGAAGTGGGGAGGTCCAGGTAGTGCGAATAATGCTGTTGCTTTAGAAATCACTCAATGCACAAAGCAGTGAGAGCGCATAGCAGCAGAGCATTCACGGCTTTGCACGAAACCTGCTATCCTGTGGACACATGTTTAACTCGTACTACGGCAGAGCCGACGTTATAGTGTTTCATAGTTGCAGTTTCAAGACATCATTGGTCACGGGTGCATTCCTCTCTGGGACCTGATTCTTACACTTAGAAGTTTAATGCCAATATAGATTTCGAGTAAAAGCCAAGACATCCCACGGAAGTGACGCACACCAGTGTAATTCGGTGGGGGTTACCGCCTTATGAGCGAAGAGTGATGAGAGTTAGCTCTTTAAGGAAACTGCCCAAAAGTCCGAAACTACTCCGACTAATTCCATCTGATTCTGACCATCACTCGATGATATCGAGAGCTGGCGAGACATGCATACAATAAATGGCATAAGTCTAGTCGGGAAGTGGTTTACAGAATTATTTGCCGAAACACGTTACAAAGAAGTGCTTCAAGGAGGCAAAACAGGAATATGTACGACAGCTTTACAAAAAATTGGAATCTCGTGGGGGAGAGCGAGGGTGCAACTGAATCGCCAGAAGAGGAGCAGAGTCTGCAAAGGATAACTGAGAGATAGCATATTTTGCAGAAATGTCACTACTAACATGAAGCAGCCTTCTCTTCGAATGACCCTGTGAAAGGATCAGATGTGCTCATTGAAGCAGAAAATTTGGCTTGCTTCAAAGCAAAAAACGGTAAGGCTGTCGGTTTAGTTCAGGTCTCAGATCAGAGAGATCCCAAGCAAATTCTCGAATCAATGCCGAGCTAAATGGTATTTGCCCTTGTCTTGCAGACGCCATCATCATTGTACGAAGGTAATACAGAAATAAAGGGTAAAACAGAAAGGTTACGTGCTTTCCTGATAAAGAGTTATCTTTCGACAAGATGTCCCATAATGTCGTACTACGGAAACATGGTAGAAGAATGCGTAGACATGAACCAAGTGCAGACTGCGACAATGCAATTTCATACCGTGCAAGGCTTTTAAATCAGAGATTAATGCTTTCTCTTATGTTCCTTCGCAGCATGAACGCAGTGTCGAAAACCCTGAGACCGTTTTTATAATTTTTCGTGATGCGCATGATGCAATTGTGATAGCAGAGAATAGAAACGAATTTGAGGAAGCTGTGCGAAAATGGGAAACCCAATTAGAGATA